AAGCAAACAATTTTGTAACTTTATGTTGTAAAAATAGCGTAGTAAAAATTTTAAGTTAAATTCATTGTATTTTAAATTCTGTTACTTGTGGATTACAAAGTGTTAAGAACACATTGTCAATATTAACGACAATAATATACAAAGTAAAAATAATTGTCAATAGCAACGACAAATTGGTGACCCCGACGTGATTCCGGGAATTAAAACCACATTTGGTGACGCCGGAATTAAAACAACAATCTGTAAAAAGCTAAGTAGCAGCCACAGAGTCTCGCAACGCAAATTCTTTAACAAGGGGAAATATCATGAACGAAGGCGAAGCAGTCAGCGCAACAACCAGCACGACAGTACAGCATGGTACAACACCGGCAGAAATTTGCCGCATAGGTGTCCAGCCGCCGGTATTTTGCAAACGCGACCCCGACTTATACTTCCTGCAGATGGAGGCGCAATTTCGCAACGCACGCATTACACAAGACCAGACGAAATACGACTACGTGATTGGTTCGTTGGACGGGTCTACACTAAGAAACGTTGCAGATATTGTAAGATCACCTCCATCTCAAAACAAATTCGACGCAATAAGGAATCGCCTGATACAAGACTTTGCTGACTCTGAAAACAAAAAGCTACGCAGACTCATACTCGAGTGCGAACTTCATGACAACAAGCCATCGCAATTACTTCGCACTATGCGCGACCTAGCAGCTGAAGCCATGAATGACGGCGCACTGAAACAATTCTGGCTAGATCGTTTGCCCGTTGCAGTGCGAGCTGTTGTGTCCATCGCTGACGGTGATCTTGACAAATGCGCACTTCAAGCTGATAAAATGATGGAGATGGGGAGTTATGGTTCTGTAGCCACTGTAGATGGTGCAAAAAATTCTCAATCAGCACAGTCATCATCAATTGAAGAAATTCAAACCATAAAAAACGCCGTTTTACAACTGAGCAAAGATGTAGCTGAAATAAAGCAGCGACAATACTCAAATAGAAGACCTCGATTTCGAACAACAGATCGTGATCCAGTCCAGCACATCCGCACACGTTCTGAAAATCAGGTTAGTAAGCAACCTCTTTGTTTCTACCATTACAGGTTTGGTGCCAATGCAATCAAATGTACCAAACCTTGCAAATACAAGGCAACGGAAAACTAAAAACAGCTTTGCCAGAGACGGTAGATGACGCTAGTGGTTATAAGTCAAGCCGTCTGTTTATTGTTGACAAAAAGACTCAACACAAATTTTTGGTGGATACGGGCGCAGATTTCTCGGTTTTCCCGATAACCGCAATCGCTAACCCTAAATCCAAACCCACAACAAGTACACTGTTTGCAGCGAACGGATCACACATTAAAACATATGGTTCCAAACTTCTGACACTCAATCTGGGGCTGAGGAAAAGTTTCGCCTGGTATTTCACCATCGTTGACGTGTCAAAGCCAATACTAGGAGCCGACTTCCTCAAAAACTTCAACTTATTGGTCGACGTCGCTAACAAGCGAATTATCGACAATCAACCGAAGTTGCAGACGTTGTGCATAGCTGAAATTGCAGCCTACTCTCCAGTTTCTTCAGTCAACAGCGACAACAAGTACCAGAAACTCCTGGCCAAATTCAAGGACCTGACTTCACTACTAACATTTAATTCGTTGAACACAACAAAAACAACGGTTCAACATCACATTTACACTAGCGGACGTCCTGTTTTTTCACGCGCTCGGCGGCTGAACCCAAGTATATTACAGATAGCTCGTCAAGAATTCGAGTACATGTTAAGTCATGGAATTTGCACCCACTCGAAGAGCGATTGGGCTAGCCCGTTGAATATGGTTTCTAAAAGGAACGGCACGTGGCGACCATGTGGGGATTATCGACGACTCAACTCACAAACGTTACCAGACCGATATCCTATCCCACACATCCAAGACTTCGCACAAACATTCAACGGCAAGTCAATCTACACTACGATAGACATCGAAAAAGCGTATTTCAACATACCGATAGCTGCAGAAGACAAAAAAGACAGCGATCATCACGCCATTTGGTCTTTTTGAATTCAACGTGATGAAATTTGGATTATGCAATGCCGCGCAGACATTTCAACGCTATATGGACCAAGTTCTTTCAGGTCTAGACTTCGTCGTCTGCTACATTGACGATATTTGTATCGCGTCCAGCAGTGAAGAAGAGCACTACCAACATGTCACAACGGTATTCCAACGCCTCCAGCAGCACGGGTTAAAAATTAATGTAAGTAAATGTGTTTTTGCTAATAACGAAGTGACCTTCCTAGGACATCGTGTAAACAAACATGGTGTTAGTCCCCCAGTAGAGAAAATCAACCACATTACAAAATTCAAAAAGCCAGTACAAGCATACGAACTACGTAGATTCCTGGCCATGCTGAATTTTTATCGACGATTTCTTCCAAACGCAGCGGTGATGCAAGGTCAATTGCAAGCGGTTATCAAAGGCAACAAAAAGAAGGACAAAAGTCTTATTGTCTGGACACAAGAAGCTGAGACTGCATTTTAACAATGTAAGCAAGCAATAGCCGATGCAGTAACCCTAGCACATCCACTACCAGAAGCACATTTAGTTCTAAACGTAGACGCCAGTAACTTCGCCGTTGGTGCAGCAATTCATCACGTTTGCAACAAACAAATGAAACCATTAGGATTCTACTCCAAGCGGATGACAGACGCACAGAAGCGCTATAGTACTTATGATCGTGAACTGCTTGCAATATATCAGTCGGTAAAGCATTTCAAGCATATTATAGAAGGAAGACAATGTACTATTTTAACTGATCATAAACCGATTACATTCGCTTTTATGCAAAAACCTGAAAAAGCATCTCCACGTCAACTTCGACACCTCGACTTCATTGGTCAATTCACAACGGACATACGTCACATCTCAGGAAGGGATAACATAGTGGCAGATCTTCTATCTCGTATCGAAGTGATCAGCAAAGACGGAGATATAAATTTTGAATCATTGGCTCAAAGTCAAAAAAAAGATAATGAGACCAACGATTTCTTAACCAGCAACAATACCGCGCTCAAACTCAAGCTTATACCTATTCCAGGCGCAACAATATCCATCGCCTGTGATATGTCAACAGTGAATGCACGTCCATTCATTCCTAAATCATTTCGACAACACATTTTCAATGCCGTGCATTGCCTTTCACATCCAGGTAAAAAAGCCACTGTTAAACTCATCAGTAAGCAGTACGTGTGGCCGAATATGAAGCAGGACATCACTCGAATGGTACGAACATGCATTCCGTGCCAGCGTGCAAAGGTCATTAGGCACAACAAAACAGCAATTGGCAGCTTTACAACGCCAGAACAACGGTTCGCAGCAATACATATCGACCTAATTGGACCACTACCTACCAAAAATGGATATACATATTGCTTAACCTGTATCGACCGATTTAGTAGATGGCCGGCAGCAATCCCAATTGAAGACATTCATGCTTCAACAGTCGCTACTGCACTAATTAATGGTTGGATAACACATTTCGGAGTACCAACGCGAATCACCACTGATCAAGGTCGTCAGTTTGAATCCCAACTTTTTAACGAGCTGGCACGCACACTAGGCGTAAGACACTTGCGAACAAGTCCTCGGCGTCCACAAAGCAATGGCATGATCGAACGCTTCCACCGTACGTTAAAAACAGCCTTAAAGTGTAAAAATGACCAACACTGGACCAAAGTACTTCCACTTGTCATCCTTGCCCTAAGAAATACTCACAAGGAAGATCTGGACGCCACACCCGCAGAAATCGTATATGGTAGCGCACTAAAGCTGCCATGTGATTTTTTTGAGGAAATCAAAGACAACCAAGTATGTTCAGAATTCGTGAAACGCTTCAGACAAGCCATGAACAGCATTCGCCCCGTCCCAGTATCACAACATTCAAAGGACAAAGTTTTTGTACAACACCAGTTACAAAAATGTACCCACGTTTTCCTGCAAAGTGTAAGTCGGTCTGATAAGACATTCGAACTACTGGTAAAAGGAAAACAAGTACGCGTAAGTATTGACCGCCTAAAAGCAGCATTCTTACCGAACAGCGAACTGAAGGCGAATGTAAACGACACACAACTCTCCGATACAATCACGTCAAGTGAAAATACTGGCAAGGCAACACGAAGTGGAAGAACCACAAGTCTGCCCCAAAAATACGTTACCTTCAATCTATCGTGATATCGTCCATAACTCAATCACTGGCAGGGGAGTAATGTGGTGTCCACCCAAACGTATTTACGATACGTAAGTGAAACGTAAGTAAGCAACAAGTACAACCAAACAACACATCTGGCATCCCTGATAGATATGAAGGGGACGGATAAAAAGACACACAAAAGAGAGGTAGATAACTGGTGCGCAGTAGTAGAGAGATTTTTTAGTAGAACCTGCAAGCAAAAATTTTAAGCAAACAATTTTGTAACTTTATATTGTAAAAATAGCGTAGTAAAAATTTTAAGTTAAATTCATTGTATTTTAAATTCTGTTACTTGTGGATTACAAAGTGTTAAGAACACATTGTCAATATTAACGACAATAATATACAAAGTAAAAATAATTGTCAATAGCAACGACAAAGTTATCGAGGGTAATATAGGAATTGTGATGGCTATATTTGATCCATACGGCATCTTAGCGAATTTTTTACTTGTTGCCAAAGTTTAATAGCAAGAAACCTGGAAAACCAAATTAAATTGGGACGACTTGTTACCTACGTTATTTTAAAAAGGGTTTCGGGACGAATTTGCCAGAATAGGCAATTTCTTTGTAACATACCAAGATGCTACTCGCCGCATCTCAACATTGCCAAAGAGGTCTAAATCCATATATTTATGGACACTACTCAAGTTGCATTTGCTGCAGCAGTGTATCTGCGAATTAAACATCAATATGCAGTCGATGTAGTTTTTTTTTTGAGGTAAGACTCGCACAGCGCCTAGGAAACTCCTATCCATGCCAAGGTTGGAACTGCAGGTTGCAGTCTTGGCTACTCGATTATCAACGCTGGTAATGGACAGACATGACATAAACATAAAACGCCTTGAAGCCGCCAAGCCAGCGCCACCGTCAATAGATCAGCTCCCAGTCAACCATATAACGCCGTATGTACGACCGTTCTCGTACACAGGTGTTGACCTGTTTGGATCATTACATGTTACTATTGGTCGTCGCCGTGAGAAGCGCTGGGCTGTCATATTCACATGCTTAACAGTACGTGCTGTGCATATAGACATCGTCGATAGCTTATCAACTGATGCGTTCCTACTATGTTTCCGCAGTTTTATTAACCGTCGTGGTACGCCAGTCAGAATGCGTAGTGACAATGGCACCAACTTTATTGGGGCACAAAGAGAATTATGTGCTGATAAAAGGTTTCTTGATGTTAATGATATACGTGAGAAAGCCATTCAACTTGGAATTGAATGGATATTCAATTGTCCGCAGAATCCCAGTGCAGGTGGTTGCTGGGAGCGCCTTATAAGAATGATCAAACGTCTATTATTCAATTCAATCAGAGAAGAAGCACCGAAGGTGGAAACGTTATGGGCAGCACTAATTGAAGCTGAAAACAACATTAACAGCCGACCGCTTACAGACATTCCTTTGACGCACAGTGAGCTGGAGCCACTCACACAAATCATTTCTTGTTAGGCTGTGCCAATAGTACACAGACACGCTATAATGATACCATACCTTTCAGCCTCGGTAAACAGTGGCATATCCTCCAAGACATAAACAGCCGTTTGTGGAAACAGTGGACTACGGAGTTCTTGCCTCAACTTTTTCGACGCCCTAAATGGTGTAAGGAGGTGGTGCCCCTCAGGGTTGGCGATTTTGTGATCGTTTGTGACAATCTGCTACCAAGAGGTCAATGGCTCAAGGGTCGAATTGTTTAAGTGTTTCCTTCCAAGACCGGTCAGGTTAGATCAGCCGGCGTACAGACCAAGAATGGTATCCTAACTCGTCCAGCCACCAAGCTAGCCGCTTGTCAGATAAGTGAATCTTGCGAAGATTCACGGGAGGGCGGAATGTAACAGTAAAAAAGCAACTCTGAGTAATATTGAGCTGAATGCAGCCCTGCGAGGCAGCATGAAAGATGAATGACAGTTGATACGAAGTAAGGGAGACAGAAAGAACAAATGTGAAACACGCTAGTGGCGCGAAAATAATATAAATAAATGGATAATGAAGTAATTGTAACGAATAGAATAGAATTATTTGTCAATAAAATATTTTCGGTATTTACATAACCGATTACAAGAACTTAGGAGGACAATCAGCAGCAGCCAATTTTGATAGACCATGAGAATCTTCAATCATTATTGTGGTCGCTTGTATTTGTTCTGTACTAAGATTTTCTGATTCAGAGCTAACTATACAGTTTTTTATGAAGATGGCAGTTCCATCGTGTCCTTTTCCGTCGGCATAGTTGGTTTGAAATATTGTATAATTGTCTATTTTAACGAAACTTTTTTCAGTGAAATGCGTTTTTGAGGTTAATAGTATGTCGATCGAATTTGAGTACAGAAAAGTTTTCAATTCGTTGATATGTCTACTTATACCGTTTGCATTCCATGCTACCATTTTCAAGTCATTATATTTACCCATTGATTTTTGTTACTAACGCCGTTAAAATGTTCATCATTCCTGACATTTGTGTTATCAATGGCTTCATCATTTCTTTTAACTCTGCGAGTTTTGAGTTGTTAGCCTTTGATTCAACAGGTGTTTGTCGTGTAATTTGCGTATATGATAACGTCTGTGTTTGTGTTTTGTATGGATGCATTGTTTATTGAGTTAGAAGATTGTTGGTGGCTTGTTTGAACGGGTGTTACTTTTTCTCTCAGAATAGGATATCGTTTGATTTTAAGTGATTTGTATACCTCACATCCCTTGTAGTTGGCTATATGCTTTCCTCCGCATAATGCACAGCTGATGTTTTCAGTATTTCTTTTTGTTGGACAACTGGCGGTTTTATGATTTCCTGCACATTTAACACAAACTGGTGACTTAGTGCAGAAATTTTTTGTGTGCACATATTTTTGACAGTTAGAACATTGAAGCATGACTTTTTGTGGGCGAAGTGGCTCAAACTGGATTTTGCAGTGAAGCAAATACTGAATTGAGTAAATTTCTTTATTATTTACATTTCGTTTTAATTCTATACAGAATAAATTTTATTGCGTCTTGGTTCGTGGCTGCAATACGTTTAGGATATTAATAATTTCATGACCGCTCTTGTGAAGACTTTTTTTATTTCATTTGTATCCACAGAATAGTGTATGCAACGTAGGAACCCTTTAAAACCTCGTTCTTCCTTCGGTTAATTCGTATAGCATTCGGTATTTTTTTCTTTTAGTAGCTTTATTATGCTGGTGTAATGAGTTGAGTCAAATGGTTGCAATTTGACTTCATTCTTTGGTAGAACTTTTATATCATATTAACTATTTTCTAGTGAGTTTAGTGCATTTATTAAAGTGCTAAATTGTTCGAATTTTTGGACGTAAATTGGAGAAGGTTTGGGTTTTTTTGAATTTTTTTGTTCTTGTGTGGTTGTTTTCATATTTGTTTCACTGTGAGCTGGTACATTATCTCTATCTTCTTTTAGGAGTTCATATCTGTTTGTGCTTGGGTTGCAAATATTCTTGTAAAGTTGTTTGTGCACTGCGTTGATTTTTATTTTTATGTTTTTTGTTACTGTTGTTTTCAATCGAATATATCAAAATATTCTAGAATATGTCTATTTTTTAAAAAAATACCGTGCAACAGTGTACCATTCCGTAAAATTTATAATTATTTAAATTTTCATAGTGTCCCCTAACACAGAATATAACCAACAACAAATGCCTGTAACAGAGTTCAATGCATATGTGAATATGTTTCAAAAGTTGTTTTTGTTAATATCTTTTTTATTTGCTACTCTATTTTGATAATTCTTACATCAATTCATATTAGAAAAATATTTTAAAAAAATACCGTGCAACATTGTACTACTTTTTATTTTTGTTTTTAATATATATTGAAAAATGTTCGATATGGCGGTATATGTTAGCAGTTTACAGACGAAAATCTTTGTTTCTTATATGCAATATATTTTTGAATTTAATTTAAATATTGAATTTAAAATATTATTATTATATAAATTAAATTTTATTATCATCCCCTTACCACAGAATACAACCGCCTATAAATACTTTTAACAGAGTTCTTTAATAAACTTTACAGTGGTGGTGAATTTTTAGCCTTGTACAGGTTTCACCTTAATATGTTATTAGAATGGTGTTAGTTAACATACATGTTTTTCGTAAAAAATCCACTTTTTTAAACATATATAATTAAAAAACGTTCTACTCGATTTTTGTGAAATTAGTTTTGTTTGAAAGAGTGATCAATTTAGTTTTAGGAACTTTAAGCGTGCAGGCTGTACCTGCTTCGAAATTTAAATAAAATGCACTTATATCGGAACATGTGCAAAATTTATACTTATTTTAATAATATTTTGATGTTTTAGTTGAGATATTGAAATGATTCTTATTTATCCGGTTTTGTGAAAGTTTTTTTTATACTTTTGCGTTTTACATTTTTTAAAAAGCTTGAAATTTGACGAGTTAAGAAATTTGACTTTAACATCAAATTTCTCAAAATTGGTCTATTCGATTTTTATGATTTTTTTTGCTATTGATAGCCTGATTAATTCTCTATTAGATGTATTTCCGTGCAACATTGTACCTGTTCAAGATTTTTCTAAAAATAAAGTGCCAAGTTAGCAACGTTGCTGGAAAATGCAGGGCTGTATTTTCAAAAAATTTTTAAAAAATGATATTTTCGTTAATATAATGAATTAAACTAAAACAAAAGGCGTTATTCTTATAGAGTTTTGAAAGATCTTTCGATTGGCATTAACCAATTTGAAATACGATGCGTATTTTTTAAATTATAGGGAAAATAAAAATTGACCAAATTCGACTTTTTTTGAAAAAATTTATTTTTAGAAAAATCTAGACAAGGTACAATATTGCACGCAAATACATCTAAAGAGAATTAATCAGGCTATCAATAGCAAAAAAAAACAAAAATCGAGTTGAGAAATTTGATGTCAAAGTCAAATTTCTAAACTCGTCAAATTTCAAGCTTTTTAAAACACAAAAGTATGAAAAAAAGTGCTCACTAAACCGAGTAAATAAGAATCATTTCAATATCTTAACAAAAATGTATAAATATTATTGAAATAAGTACACATTTTGCACATGTTCCAATATAACTGCATTTTATTTAAATTTCGAAGGAAGTACAGCCAGCACGTTTAAGGTTCCTAAAACTAGAATGATCACTGTTTCAAACGAAACTAATTTCACAAAAATCGAGTAGAACGTTTTTTAATTATATATGTTTAAAAAAGTGGATTTTTTACGAAAAATATATATGTTAACTAACACCATTCTAATAACATATTAAGGTGAAAAGCAGAACAATGCTAAAAACTCACCACCACTGTAAAGTTTAATAAAGAACTCTGTTAAAGGTATTTATAGGCGTTTATAGTCTGTGTTAAGGGGATAATAATAATATTTAATAAATTATAAATTTTACGAAATGGTAGAATGTTGCACGGTATTTTTTTTGAAAAATATACATATTCTAGAATATTTTGGTATATAAATCATTAAAAATGAGTAGACAGATTTTCTAAAATTATCAAATATATATTGCATATAAACAAGTAAATTTTCGTCTGTAAACTGCATAACATATACCGCCATATCATGCCTTGAATTGTGTAGCAGGCATTTGTTGGCTGTTATATTGTGTTAGGGGATACTAATAATATTTAATTAAATATAAATTTTATACTATGTTTACATTACGAACTTTGCTGGCTGGAATCGACTTTGAGCGCAAAACTAGCATCCAAAGTCGATTTTGCCATATAAAAATAGGCACAATAAAACTCGAACTTTGAGCAAAAATTGGCTTCATTTAACGAGCGCCAAGATAGCAACGATGCTGGGAGGTCCAAACCGGAATTGGAACACGAAATTTTTCTAAGTTTACTAATTTGTCAATATTAGATAAATTAAAGCTTTCTCAAGAAATAAGAAATATGACTTAGAAAGAAAATTCAATAATCTTTCATTTGGTATATACCTCATATCTGAATGTTGCGCAATAGCTGAGATATTCACAAAATAAAAAAACCAAATTTTTTAAAAAAACTGACTTTTTTTACTTAAAAAATTATTAAAAAACAACTAAGAGTTCGATGGACTTGCACGCACATGCATTTGAAAGGCAATAAATCAGGCTTTCAAATAAAGTAAAAATCAGAAAAATCGTATGCGTGGAATTCGCACAAAAACATGTCAAAAATCAATATCTTATCTCACTCCAGATAATACATTTGAAAAAAGTGAAAACGCAAAATGATCAGAAACACATCACGAAATACAATTTTAAATCGTCAATCGATTATTTTACATTTATCATACAAATATGATAAAAAATAACCTTTTTTTCTACCTTATTTTACTCTAACATATATATCATAGCGTGCAGAAGCCCGATGGCAATAAAGATATTTTTCCTTTAAAGACAAATATATCACCTTTCCAAAATAGTCAAAATCAAGAAAATCGTATGCACAGTTTTTCCATATTATTTTTTCAAAAATGGTTCATTTTTTATCAAAAATCCAATTAATTGATAAAAAACGTGAACCTCCACAGCGCCATATACGGCCCAGAAGCAAAGCAGGAGGCTTACTGCCATCTATAATTCGAAGCCAAATAAGATATGGTGTTTGTATTTGCTTAATGCATATGTTGTGAATAAATGAATTAAACAATAAAAAAAGCGACTATCTATCCGTTTAAAAAACATTAATTTTAAAAAAATATTATTACAAGAATCACAATGCACATAAAAGCCTTTAAAGATAACAAAACAAACTTTAAATTACAAAAAAAATCAGAAAAATCGCATTATTCTTCGAACAAGGCAATTCAATCAAATATGAAAATTATTATTTCTCTTAAAACAATCATTTGAGAAGAAAAGATAGATGACAAATGTTAAAAAATATATTACTAAGCAATTATTTAATAATATCAACTTAATATTTAATTCAAAGAAACGAAAGAAAAAAATGTAATTTAAACCATTTTTATTAAAATTTTTAAATAAATTAATAATTTTTTTTTTAATTTTTCAGAATTCCGAAAAGAAAAAGAACAATCATTGTAAATATTTATACGCTTATTTATTTAAATATTAGTATAATATTTACATATACATCTTTATTAATTGCAGATTTCCAAATGCGACGCAGCCTCCAAAAACAAAACCTAGAGCTGGAAAAAAACCAATAAATTAATTAATTAATTATAAACATTATATACATATATTGTAAGTAATATTAAAAAATGCGCTTAACACTATTTTTAGAAAGCTTATCTGCAAGCACCATCTACCGTTCGTATTCGCTTTATGGAATTTATGCATTTGTTGCAAATTAATTAATTAAACAATAAAAAAAGCGACTATCTATCCTTTTAAAAAACATTAATTAAAAAAAAATATTATTACAAGAATCACAATGCACATAAAAGCCTTTAAAGATAATAAAACAAACTTTCAATTACAAAAAAAATCATAAAAATCGCCTTATTCTTCGAACAAGGCAATTCAATCATATATGAATATTATTATTACCCTTAAAACAGTCATTTGAAAAAAAAAATAAAGATGACAAATGTTAAAAAATATATGACTGAATAATTATTTAATAATATCAACTTAATATTTAATTCATATCATACAAATTTCATCAAAAAATATTGGAATTTTTTTTTGAGGTTATAATTTTTTGCAATCAAATATCTTACCGTGCAAAACCCCGATCGGGATAACCTATATGTCTATATAAAGATGAAGAAGTGTTCTTTCAATATTTCAAAATTCATAATAATCGTATGCACAGTTTTTTTTATAATGATTTTTAAAAAATTTGCATTTGATCAATAAATAAATTGAGTCATACAGCAACTAATTAGGGTTTAACAGCCAACACCATCTAGTGTTTGTTTTCGTTTTATGTGTGATAAATTTCAGGATTTGAAAATGCTGGACTATTTTCAAGCAATTATTTTTGTTTACGAAAATGAAATAAGCAAAATGCAAATGCAACATTCAGTTTGCGTTTATGTTTCATACTAAGTGTGTGCGAAGGTTGAAGCAATGGTAAGTATTATGAAATTAAATTAATAAAATATATTTAAAAATTTGTAATTTACACAAGTAATAATATTAAAAATAATAATATTATAATAATAATATTAAAAATATAAATATTAAATTTTTAATGCTTTCCTTTCAGAATCGGGATATATTAACTGGCGTATTGATTGGGCTGCTGGTTGACGGTAAAAATGTATGTAAATAATTTAAAATATATATATATTATATTATGATTTATATTAAATGCAATATTAAAATAACATTTTTTGTCTCTTTCTTCAGCAACCCCAGCGTCAACAGCAGCAACGAAACCGCCGACCAGCAGGAAACTACCAGCGGCACCAGGAAAGTGTCCGACGACGGGAAGAAAACCGCCGACGACGCGAAGAAAACCTCCGGCGGCAGGATGAAAACCGCCGCCGGCAGGAAGAAAACCGCCGGCGGCAGGAGGAAAATAGCCGTCGGCAGGAAGAAAATCGCCGTCGGCTGGAGGAAAACCGTCGTCGGGAGAAAGAAAACAAAGAAAAAAATGTAATTTAAACAATTTTTATTAAAATTTTCAAATAAATTAATAATTTTTTTTTTAATTTTTCAGAATTCCGAAAAGAAAAAGAACAATCATTGTAAGTAATTATACGCTTATTTATTTAAACATTAGTATGATATTTACATATATATTTTTATTAATTGCAGATTTCCAAATGCGACGCATCCAAAAACAAAACCTAGAGCTGGAAAAAAAAACCAATAAATTAATTAATTAATTAATTAAAAAAAAATTCATTTTCATATATCATATATTTCATATATCATGTTTATTTTTTAATACATTTTTAATAAAAAAATTTTATTTAAACTTATTTTCATAATTCTATTAAATGATAATATATACATATATTGTAAGTAATATTAAAAAATGCGCTTAACACTATTTTTAGAAAGCTTATCTGCAAGCACCATCTACCGTTCGTATTCGCTTTATGGAATTTATGTATTTGTTGCAAATTAATTAATTAAACAATAAAAAAAGCGACTATCTATCCTTTTAAAAAACATTAATTAAAAAAAAATATTATTACAAGAATCACAATGCACATAAAAGTCTTTAAAGATAATAAAACAAACTTTCAATTACAAAAAAAAAATCATAAAAATCGAATTATTCTTCGAACAAGGCAATTCAATCATATATAAAAATTATTATTTCTCTTAAAACAATCATTTGAAAAAAAAAATAAAGATGACAAATGTTAAAAAATATATGACTGAACAATTATTTAATAATATCAATTTAGTATATAATTCATATCAAAAGAATTTCATCAAAAAATATTGGAATTTTTTTTTTGAGGTTATAATTTTTTGCAATCAAATATCTTACCGTGCAAAACCCCGATCGGGATAACCTATATGTCTATATAAAGATGAAGGAGTTTTCTTTCAATATTTCAAAATTCATAATAATCGTATGCACAGTTTTTTTTATAATGATTTTTAAAAAATTTGCATTTGATCCATAAATAAATTGAGTCATACAGCAACTAATTAGGGTTTAACAGCCAACACCATCTAGTGTTTGTTTTCGTTTTATGTGTGATAAATTTCAGGGTTTGAAAATGCTGGACTATTTTCAAGCAATTATTTTTGTTTACGAAAATGAAATAAGCAAAATGCAAATGCAACATTCAGTTGCGTTTATGTTTCATACTAAGTGTGTGCGAAGGTTGAAGCAATGGTAAGTATTATGAAATTAAATTAATAAAATATATTTAAAAATTTGTAATTTATACAACTAATAATATTAAAAATAATAATATTATAATAATAATATTAAAAATATAAATATTAAATTTTTAATGCTTTCCTTTCAGAATCGGGATATATTAACTGGCGTATTGATTGGGCTGCTGGTTGACGGTAAAAATGTATGTAAATAATTTAAAATATATATATATTATATTATGATTTATATTAAATGCAATATTAAAATAACATTTTTTGTCTCTTTCTTCAGCAACCCCAGCGTCCACAGCAGCAACGAAACCGCCGACCAGCAGGAAACTACCAGCGGCACCAGGAAAGTGTCCGACGACGGGAAGAAAACCGCCGACGACGCGAAGAAAACCTCCGGCGGCAGGATGAAAACCGCCGCCGGCAGGAAGAAAACCGCCGGCGGCAGGAGGAAAATAGCCGTCGGCAGGAAGAAAATCGCCGTCGGCTGGAGGAAAACCGTCGTCGGGAGAAAGAAAACAAAGAAAAAAATGTAATTTAAACAATTTTTATTAAAATTTTCAAATAAATTAATAATTTTTTTTTAATTTTTCAGAATTCCGAAAAGAAAAAGAACAATCATTGTAAGTATTTATACGCTTATTTATTTAAACATTAGTATGATATTTACATATATATTTTTATTAATTGCAGATTTCCAAATGCGACGCATCCAAAAACAAAACCTAGAGCTGGAAAAAAAAACCAATAAATTAATTAATTAATTAATTAAAAAAAAATTCATTTTCATATATCATATATTTCATATATCATGTTTATTTTTTAATACATTTTTAATAAAAAAATTTTATTTAAACTTATTTTCATAATTCTATTAAATTATATATTATATACATATATTGTAAGTAATATTAAAAAATGCGCTTAACACTATTTTTAGAAAGCTTATCTGCAAGCACCATCTACCGTTCGTATTCGCTTTATGGAATTTATGCATTTGTTGCAAATTAATTAATTAAACAATAAAAAAAGCGACTATCTATCCTTTTAAAAAACATTAATTAAAAAAAAATATTATTACAAGAATCACAATGCACATAAAAGTCTTTAAAGATAATAAAACAAACTTTCAATTACAAAAAAAAATCATAAAAATCGAATTATTCTTCGAACAAGGCAATTCAATCATATATAAAAATTATTATTTCTCTTAAAACAATCATTTGAAAAAAAAATAAAGATGACAAATGTTAAAAAATATATGACTGAACAATTATTTAATAATATCAATTTAGTATATAATTCATATCAAAAGAATTTCATCAAAAAGTATTGGAATTTTTTTTTTGAGGTTATAATTTTTTGCAATCAAATATCTTACCGTGCAAAACCCCGATCGGGATAACCTATATGTCTATATAAAGACGAAGGATTTTTCTTTCAATATTTCAAAATTCATAATAATCGTATGCACAGTTTTTTTTATAATGATTTTTAAAAAATTTGCATTTGATCAATAAATAAATTGAGTGATAGCGCCGAATGCGGAGTCCAGCTAATTATATGGGCTTGTCTGCAAGCACCATCTACCGTTCGTATTCGCTTTATGGAATTTATGTATTTGTTGCAAATTAATGAATTAAACAATAAAAAAAGCGACTATCTATCCTTTTAAAAAACATTAATTAAAAAAAAATATTATTACAAGAATCACAATGCACATAAAAGCCTTTAGAGATAATAAAACAAACTTTAAGTTACAAAAAAAATCATAAAAATCGCCTTATTCTTCGAACAAGGCAATTCTATCATATATGAATATTATTATTACCCTTAAAACAGTCATTTGAAAAAAAAAATAAAGATGACAAATGTTAAAAAATATATGACTGAATAATTATTTAATAATATCAACTTAATATTTAATTCATATCATACAAATTTCATCAAAAAATATTGGAATTTTTTTTTGAGGTTATAATTTTTTGCAATCAAATATCTTACCGTGCAAAACCCCGATCGGGATAACCTATATGTCTATATAAAGATGAAGAAGTGTTCTTTCAATATTTCAAAATTCATAATAATCGTATGCACAGTTTTTTTTATAATGATTTTTAAAAAATTTGCATTTGATCAATAAATAAATTGAGTCATACAGCAACTAATTAGGGTTTAACAGCCAACACCATCTAGTGTTTGTTTTCGGTTTAGTGTGATAAATTTCAGGGTTTGAAAATGCTGGACTATTTTCAAAGAATTATTTTGTTTACGAAAATGAAATAGCAAAATGCAATGCACATCAGTTGCGTTTAATTTTCATATAAGTGTGTGCGAGGTTGAAGCAATGTAAGTATTATGAAATTAATTATAAATATATTTAAAAAAATTGTATTGTACAAAGTAATAATAATAAAATATAATTTAATAAATAATTAAAAATAAAATATTAATTTTTAATGCTTCCTTTCAGAAACGGATATTAACGGCGTATTGATGGGCTGCTGGTGACGGTAAAAAAGTATGTAAATATTTAAGTATATATATATATTATGATTATATAATGCAATATTAAATACATTTTTTGTATCTTTCTTCGCACCCAGCGTCCACAAGCAGCAACGAAACCGCCGACCAGCAGGAAACTACCGCGGACCAGAAAAGTGTCCGACGACGGAAAAAAACGCAGACGACGCGAAGAAACCTCGGCGGCAGGTGAAAAACCGCCGCCGGCAGGAAGAAACCCGCCGGCGGCAGGAGGAAAATAGCCGTCGGCAGGAAGAAAATCGCCGTCGGCTGGAGGAAAACCGTCGTCGGGAGAAAGAAAACAAAGAAAAAAATGTAATTTAAACAATTTTTATTAAAATTTTCAAATAAATTAATAATTTTTTTTTTAATTTTTCAGAATTCCGAAAAGAAAAAGAACAATCATTGTAAGTATTTATACGCTTATTTATTTAAACATAAGTATGATATTTACATATATATTTTTATTAATTGCAGATTTCCAAATGCGACGCATCCAAAAACAAAACCTAGAGCTGGAAAAAAAAAACCAATAAATTAATTAATTAATTAATTAAAAAAAAATTCATTTTCATATATCATATATTTCATATATCATGTTTATTTTTTAATACGTTTTTAATAAAAAAATTTTATTTAAACTTATTTTCATAATTCTATTAAATGATATATTATATACATATATTGTAAGTAATATTAAAAAATGCGCTTAACACTATTTTTAGAAAGCTTATCTGCAAGCACCATCTACCGTTCGTATTCGCTTTATGGAATTTATGTATTTGTTGCAAATTAATGAATTAAACAATAAAAAAAGCGACTATCTATCCTTTTAAAAAACATTAATTAAAAAAAAATATTATTACAAGAATCACAATGCACATAAAAGCCTTTAAAGATAATAAAACAAACTTTCAATTACAAAAAAAATCATAAAAATCGAATTATTCTTCGAACAAGGCAATTCAATCATATATAAAAATTATTATTTCTCTTAAAACAATCATTTGAAAAAAAAATAAAGATGACAAATGTTAAAAAATATATGACTGAACAATTATTTAATAATATCAATTTAGTATATAATTCATATCAAAAGAATTTCATCAAAAAATATTGGAATTTTTTTTTTGAGGTTATAATTTTTTGCAATCAAATATCTTACCGTGCAAAACCCCGATCGGGATAACCTATATGTCTATATAAAGACGAAGGAGTTTTCTTTCAATATTTCAAAATTCATAATAATCGTATGCACAGTTTTTTTTATAATGATTTTTAAAAAATTTGCATTTGATCAATAAATAAATTGAGTCATACAGCAACTAATTAGGGTTTAACAGCCAACACCATCTAGTGTTTGTTTTCGTTTTATGTGTGATAAATTTCAGGGTTTGAAAATGCTGGACTATTTTCAAGCAATTATTTTTGTTTACGAAAATGAAATAAGCAAAATGCAAATGCAACATTCAGTTTGCGTTTATGTTTCATACTAAGTGTGTGCGAAGGTTGAAGCAATGGTAAGTATTATGAAATTAAATTAATAAAATATATTTAAAAATTTGTAATTTATACAACTAATAATATTAAAAATAATAATATTATAATAATAATATTAAAAATATAAATATTAAATTTTTAATGCTTTCCTTTCAGAATCGGGATATATTAACTGGCGTATTGATTGGGCTGCTGGTTGACGGTAAAAATGTATGTAAATAATTTAAAATATATATATATTATATTATGATTTATATTAAATGCAATATTAAAATAACATTTTTTGTCTCTTTCTTCAGCAACCCCAGCGTCAACAGCAGCAACGAAACCGCCGACCAGCAGGAAACTACCAGCGGCACCAGGAAAGTGTCCGACGACGGGAAGAAAACCGCCGACGACGCGAAGAAAACCTCCGGCGGCATTAGCATTATTCTGTCTTTTAGGAGGTATTTTTTATTAACTAAATTTATTATTCATCATTATAATATTAAACATCATTATTAAACTTTAAATAGAATGTGAAAAATCTGATGAAGCTCTAAAATGTGGATTGCTGAAGTTTCCGGATGTTCTACATCCGTTACTAGAAGAAATGTCAGTACAAACTGATAAACGTGTGTTGAATAAGTCATACTGTCCGTCAGAAATTTCTGGCTCGTAAGTATTTTTTATTAAATTTATAACTTATTATATTTCACATTAATAACAATTAATTTTTTATACATAGTCAATCTCCAGCCTTACATCAACTGGTTTGCCTTTATGTTTGCCCTGGTTGGAATGTAATGTCAACAGCGTACTTGATCTCATCGAGCGCAACGATGCAATTATCACTGATTACAACCAGATACGTGCATTGCGTTATGGTAAACCACCTCGACCCACCTTACGTCATGTATTTGCCTATGATTTTAAGGAGAAAGTGCCATTGGCAAGTTTTTTTGTCAAAGAATCAATTCACAATTGTAACGTATCATCCATTTGCACCACCATATTCAATTAATTCTTATGAAAGGTGATTATTTCATACATACAGAAATTATTGATATATGGTTATGAAAATAATATACATATTTTTTTAAAAATTCTCTTCTAGCTGTGCTACAAATCAACAATCAATATGCTACATGGACAAGTACCTGCTGCTAGATCTAACAATGCTGAACCACCAACATCGCCACGAACCTAATATAAAGCCGACCCAATTGATAGACAACCACTATTTATAGCATTTAAGGTTGGTGAAGGTAATTTACATATAGATAAATGCTCTTTATAAATTTAATCACTCTATTTATCTAAACAGATGGTGCAGCTGGTACTGCTGAGACTGGGACTTCATATCATAATCTTACGTAATCCTCGCATAATATTGTGGATGCAATGCGTGACTTTTTACATAATTTCCGTATAACTTGCTCGTTGGTCAGAATGATGATAATAACAGTTTTGAAGAAGACACCATGTCTACTCTTTTTTATCTACTCGTTGTTTATCATTGTTTATTTTAATGAACTTTTAACGTAAATTTATGTATATATGTATTAGATGATAGTTTTTGTAATATAATCATTATATATCAAAGTAGTAAGCTAATTAAAATTTATACCTTTTAGTAATAATTAAATTTAATTTGATTAAATTATTTAGTTCAATATATTTTAGTATAATAATATATGTATGTATACACCATGTCTACTCTTTTTTATCTACTCGTTGTTTATCATTGTTTATTTTAATGAACTTTTAACGTAAATTTATGTATATATGTATTAGATGATAGTTTTTGTAATATAATTAT